TCTTGATCAGCATCAACAGCCGAGCCGAACTAGACATGTCCGTCTGTCTGTCCGTCCGTCTGTCTATTCGTCCCTCCGTCTGTCCGTATGTATGAATGCGTCGATCTCAGAACCTATACGTACTAGAGACTTGAAATTTTGAACGTAGGTCCTTCTAGTGCCCGCCCAGTACGATTTTGTTTCCGATAATCGATAACTTGCCCCCATTCCAAGCAATCGATAATAATCGTTATAGAAGTCCTTTCTTACTTGAACTTTCTAGAATACTATATACAGATCGGTGGCAAGTTGTTCGGTCGGCTGAGGAAAGTGGCAAGTTCTGAAGCGAAGGCAAACGAGCTGCATTTGGTGTTGGCAGAAGAATGTTCAGGGTATTCCCTAGTCGGGCACACCCGACTAGAGCACTCTTACTTGTTTTCTTGTAGTTTTGCGCAATGTTTTAATTAATATTTAATTACTTGAGCGGGGGCTTAGACTGACTGATTTGTTGAAATTTTTGGAGCTGTTATGGAAAGGCCTAATCAAAAAAATAAAGAAATACAACACGTGCAATGATTGATTGTTAGCGGTTTTTATTGTATTTGTGGGCCAGGGCTTAAATGTGAGTACAAACAACAACAACAACAACAAAAAGAACTCAACTCGGCATTTGGTTCTTTGTTGTCTGTGTCAAAGAAATAAAATCACATACATATACAAAAAGTAAAGGATGCCAATAGACAGAGAAATAGTGAGTCACACGCTCAGAAGCCTGTCGCACTTGAATGACTGTCTGATTGACTGACTGACGGACTGACTGACTGATGGACGGACTGACTGACACGCATTGTCTATTGGCCAGGCTCACATTTCTTTACATTTTACATTTAACATTTAATTCGTTTTTCTCGCTCGCCCAAAGTTGTCGGAAAAACTACAATTTGAGTGATGGAACGAATTTGCATTCGACATTTTATGATAGCTGGAGTAAGAGAAAGACAGACAGAGTGTCAGAGAGAGACAGAGAGAGAGAGAGAGAGAGATGATGGGCATGCCGCAAATTTATGCGTCTTAGTTCCACCAACAACTAACTCACTTAATTATCATACTAAAGAAAATCAAATTACGTTTGCTTATGAATTGGGAAATGTTTTGGGGACGCGTTCTTATAACATCAGCGGAATTTTTGTCGAATTATGCCATTAAAAAATTAAATGTTCGTCTTTGTTTATAGTTGGTGACAAATGTTTGCTTTTATTTAAACACATCAAGTTGCCCGTTAAAATTATTAACATGAAACAAAATATTTGAACATTTTAAACCTTGCTAAAAAAGGATTTTATTGCTTTCCAAATCGGATACATTTCAAGTTCTATAGCTGAAATAGTTTTGCATTTCTTTCTGTTGAAGCCAAGTCAAAAGTGATTAAGGAAAAAACATTTGGGAATTATAAAGAAATTAGTTTCTTTTGAAACCAAGCCAAGTACTGAGGTCCTTCTTAAGGCAAAACTGTTTGAGAATTATAGTGCAATACTTTCTTTTGGTACCAGGTCAAGACCTTAATAGTTTTTCTACATCTCAAATTCTTATGCCAAAACCGTTTGGAAATTATAATGCAATTTTTTCCTTATTCAAGTTTTCTCAAGATCTATAAGATTTGACTCACAAAGAAGCTGAATAATCATCGCGGAATGCATATTCATTAGCTTATATATATATTGACAGGCTATATTGGCTAATTTCTACCATTTCCATATGCCGATTGTGGCCAGAATGCAGATAGGGTTTTCTGTTATGGCATAGCGCATTTTCACAAGGCCAAGCTGACAAGAATCGTCAGATAAAGACAGCGAGATAAACATAGATTAACGAGTATTCAGATCAGAATCCAATCAACTGTCGCTGTACACAATTTCCTATGCATACTGTAGATACGCGGAATATATATACAATATACAATATATATATTCATATGGCAATTATTCGAATTTAATTTTAATGTGCAATATATCCATATGAATGTGGATTGCTCTCTCGTTCGACATACACTCAATGGCTTCTGACTACTTAATTTCCAAGTGCCATAAAAATGTGAATGCCTTTCGGTATTGAGAATTGAAAGCCCAGCATATTTGGGCGTTGAAAAATAAGTTGGCTTATTTATTGTGCCATGCTTATAAATATTTAAAAAGCCTCCAAATGAAATAAACAATTAGTTTATTTATTGACACATACACACACACACACACTGTCATAATTACTTATTGATTTACATATGATATACATTGACTTATAGCGCAAATATGTGGCCTAAAGTGCTCATGTTGAAAGGCAATTGTATTTGAAGCCCTTATACAATAATTAACCCGCCATGAATCAGGTTTTCTGGATACTTATATACCTATAGAATCGAAAAATCAGCGCATATTTGTGGCATTACGCGAACTATTTGGAAATTCTAGTAAGCTATGCCCGCTGTCAATGTAAGAATGCAATTTCTTAAGGTTTTCGCTTATAATTCGCAAACGGTTTAAGCTTCACATTGCCTAAATGGCTCGCTTGGTCAGTTGATGCTGCCTTTATTGAACTATTTGAGAATTTTAGTAAGCTAAACACGCGAAATCTACTTCTTAAAGTTTTCGCTTATAATTCGCAAACGGTTTTAGCAACGCGTTGTCCAAATGACTCGCTTAGCCAGTTGATGGTGCTTATTATGAGCGAACTGTACATTCATTTTCTAGATAGCTGCACAAAACAAACATATGTTAAATATGGCAATTAATAAATAAAATGCGTCTATTTCAAATCTCCCAGTCAGCCCAAGCTATCCCCTCCTCTCCTCCCCCAACCTACGCGGGTATCTTGAGTGGTCGTTGATTTAAAACATACATTGCGGCCTTTAATTGTGGCGCATTTTTGTCGAATCCGAAGAAACACCAGCCACATTTCGTTTCCTTTTAATGAAAACAAATTTGATCGAATGTGTGGTTAGTTTTGAGAGGGACGGCGTGAGGTGGGGGGCGTGGTGTGGCAGAGGGAATAAAGTGGGGTATAGAATACCTAAGAAACAAATCGAATATAACGAAAACTTGAAAGAGGAGCGCGCGAGCACCCTGCAAATGGGCATTATGAATTGTATATGTATTCACAATATATATACATACATATATATTCATGTGAGTGAGTACAACGGGTACTCGCTCGTGAATGTGAGTGTGTGTGTGTGTGTGTATGGGCCACAAAATTATGATTTGTGTAAAAGTTGCCTGTGATTAAGCACTTTTAAGTGTAATTCGGCGATGTTGTTGTTCTTGTTGTTGTTGCGCTTTGGTAGGGTCTATATAAATAGAAGCAGGCAGGCAGAAGAGGAAGAAAGATGTTTGCCTAAACCATAACTAAAAATCTTTATAGCTAAAGATATTTGTGAGATCTTCTGCGTTGACCGGCGACGGCGACGGCTGCTGCCGCTGCGATTGCGACTGCGGCGGCTGTTTAAAGTCAATTTTTGAATAATTATGAATCGTTTTTCAGTCTTTTTAGTTTTGTTGTTGTTGTTGTTGTTGTTTTTTTTTCTCGTTGTTGTTCTCTAATTATAACAACATCATAATCATAATAATTTCTTATGAGTTGTATTTTGGCTGGCTCTTCGTGTGTTCTTAATGTGCCAAATATATTTCTATCTATTGAGCCAAAATTGCGAATATTTGTCCAACACACACACACACACACACACACACATACACACATATGCACACAGATACACACAAAGTTGCCTCAATATGCAAATGGTGCAGAGAGATTTATAAAAAAGAATATCTATCTAAAATGAATTATTGAAACCGATTTGAAATGCGTTTATGAACTAAACCAAGTGAAATTATGCGATTGCGAAATGCAGCTGCAATAGCTATGCCAAAAGTAATATATATAGCATACATATATAGATATAAATACGGATATGTAAATAAAAGTATTCAAATGCATTTTAAGAAATCAAATCAAAGTATTCAAAAATTGCAAAAGCAGAAAACTCAAAAATAATATGAGAACAACTGGGATAAAAACAAATTTGAAGACAAACTTTGTTTTAACTTAATTAGTTGCATTGTTTTATATATAAATATGTATATTATATATCCTAATTGATAGAGTATCAAAAATTAGGGAATATAATTGAAGGATTGAAGGATTTTTAAAAGTTTATCCTATATAACGAACTCTTCCATCGCATTCTGTTTGCTTAACCTGATATATTCCCAGAGATCAATATAGTTCCCTATTTAATATAATTAATATAAAATCTAAAGTTTAGGCGAAGGACTTTTATAATTTTACCCTAACTAACCAACTTTTGCATTGCTTGCTATTTTCCAAACCCGATCCATTCCCATAGATCAAACATTTTAAGTAAACTATATCTCAAGTCAATTGCATTTAAGTTGACCAACTTTTTGCTGAGTGTATTTTTGCATAGTTTACACATAGAGCGGAAGTTCTTTAGACGTCACTTGCACTTTATTTCGATGATTGGAATAAAATCTGGATATGCGAATACGCTAACTCAAATCACAGCTGCTTATATGGTTTTGCGCTTAATCAAAATCGCCGGAAATTATAAGATGCCAATAATAAAAATTAATATGCAGAGATTAAAACGATTTATATGTACGCCATGGCGTTGAATGCGTGCGACTGCGCCATTAAATTGTTTATAATATAGCACTAAAAAGCATACACACACCCATACCAATGTACATACCTATATACGTATATATGTATATATATATATGTATCACATACTCTGGCTTGTTCAGTTAACACTTTGGTTTAATGACTAAGACTAAGGAGCGCCCCTCGTGTGCTCGAAAGAAAAAAAATACATTTTTGTCAATAAAATAGAAATTAGCGACGCTGAATCACAATTCTAGTCAGATAGGAAAACGCGGCGTTTTTGTACTTATATAGACAAGAGTTTGTTCTAGGGTACTTATTTCCATATTTAATTAGTAAGAGTTATTTACCATTTTGTCGGCTCTGTTGTATCCACGTTTATAATCCCAGCCAGCAAGAATTCTAGTTAAATGTTTATTTGATTTATTCTAGATATATTTATTAATTTCTTCACTTTTAGCACATATTCAAATGTTTGCACGTTGCAGCTGCAAATTTTATTTGATTTCTTGTTATTGTTGTTGTTTTATTGTTGTTTGTGTTTAACACTTTGTTCAAATTGTCTGTCCGTTGCGCGCGTGCCGAATAATAAGCAAATATTGTTTTACACTTATTACAATTGCCGATATATATCGTCAGCGTTATGGATATAAATGTTGTATTGCCTGGATATATTAATTATTACAGTATGCAACAATAAAACCGAAGCCGGGTATGCCGCTGCACGCGCTCGTGTTCGCACTGCTGCACGTTTAGTCAATGACTAAAGGGCGGGCAATTCAAAATTTTTTAAAATTCATCAACGCTGCCAGCAGCGACGGCGACGCCGACGCTAACGTCGCGTCAACGCAAGCGTCGACAGCAGCAAACACACAACAAAAACCAAAAACTAATAAAATCAATTACAAACGCACACAAACACATTCACATGCACAAGAGCAGCCGAAGACGCAGCCCAACACAACAACGACGAACCGAAGGCAAAGAGCACGAACAAAAGCCGACAATGCGACGTGCTACACACGAAGTTCTGGTTCTCTGGAAAAAATAACAACAACAACAACCAGCAGCGCCAGCAGCGACGGCGGCAGCAAAGGAAACGGAGCATGGAACTAGAGCTGAGAGCGTGTATCGTGCTTATTCTTAGTGTTAGAGTATTTGGTCCGTTGAGACTGCAGCATAATTTGTTGAGCAAAAACAAGATATATCAAAAGGTATCGTTTATAGGTCTTGCGCTCGTCTCTAAAGGGAATTCACGTTCTGCGCAAAGAGAACGTTTGCGAATGTGCAGTGCTCTTTGCCGCTGAGCTCTCTCTTGGCCGTTCGAATGTGGGCCAAAAGTAATGACAATAGCGGCAATTGTTTAGCTTGAATTTTAACGTACTTTTGCAATGCCACCGCTTGGACCACTGCCAACTATTTTTTAACTCACGCGCTCTCTCTCTAGCGTTCGCTCTCTTTTTTTTGGCACGCACAAACACACTTGTATGGTTATTGCGCTCTTGCAGGCGTTGAGGTACGTGTGTGTGCGAGAGCATGTAAATGGGTGTGCGCGTTTGTGTAGCTTGCCAAATGAGCCAAGCAAAACAAAAAGGCAAAAATATACATATGTACGTTTGTAGTAGGAACAAGAACCATTGCACCTCGCCCTGCTCTTCCCCTTACACTCTACACTCCAGCACCCACAATGCGCACACAGCATTTACAAGCGAAATATGCAAACGATTTTTGCATTTATGGCAAGGCAATGACGTTTGCTCTGCTGCTCTCGAAACGTTAAGAATTTTTGTGCTGATCTCGTTTTACATTATTTACTTGTGGGAATAGATTTTAAAAATCACAGCTGCCCAAGCTGCACAAATACAAATGAACACGCAAACATACATACATACATATATAGCATAAGTTTAAGCGTACTGGAGTGCGGGCTTTGACACCCCTGAGTAAGTAGCGTCGTGTGCACTTTGTTTCATTATTCTGTATCCTAAAATATAATCGCTGCTATAAAGTGTCCTTTTTAACTCACACATTTGAGTCGTGTTGCGTCGAGTTACCCTCATGGAGCGTACCAACTGAACCATTATTGCTACAGCTATCCATAATTACACAAAAGTCTAACATATATCGCATATAAGCCGCAGCGCTGCGCATAAATCGCAATTAATCAAGTGCAAGCCAATGCCGTTAACTCCCCTAACACCCCTCTCCCAGCCACTAGCACCCTGTGTATGTGAAACGCAGGGCAATCGAAGCAGCAGCAGCGGCAGCGACAGCAACCCTCCCCAGTCCGAATAACCCAACCCAACCCAGCCCAATCCCATCCAATCCAGCAAGAAGAAAAAGAAAAAGTTCAACTTCTGCTTTGAGCTGAACAACAATTACAAGGCATGCTATCTCGCTCGTTCACTTTGCACTGGCCCGCTTGCACTCTCCCTCGCACACTCACACTCGCATAACGAAAGCTACTAAAAATGTAATCATTATGCTTTATCGTAATAATCAGCAGCCGCAGCCCAGGCAAGTTTTGCCCAACAGCCAGCAGACGGCGCACACTTGTGCATGCATACATACAAACAGACGCACACACACACATTCATACATTGAGAGAAATATAAGTACTACATTCTAACATAACAAACAGGCAAACAAACAAAACTAAATTACAACAATTCCAAAAATTTATAATTGTGCTGCGCACACAGTTAGAAATCTCAAACTACCACCAGCAGTCGCAGCCACCCTTTCCACCAGTTTTCTGCTGCTGCCGCCTGCCGCCTCATCTCCCCTCCACCAGCACAATGTTCATGCTCATTCTCAAGCTCTTATTCGGCCCTCAATCATCATCCTCATCATCATCCTTTTGGCTTGCCTTCTTGCCTTACAATTCGCCATGCTGCTGTCGCTGTCGCTGCCGCTGCCTCTGTCGCTGCGTTTGGACGACAGCGACGACGACGTCGCAACTAACACACAAAGCTACCAAACCAAAAAAAAAAGGCAGTTAAGTTAAAATGTACTTAGAGTTTAAGCGTAACCCCGAAATCCCGACCGAACCCAAACGAGATTGTGTGTTTTAAGCGTTTTAGTTGCCCGCTTGCACACCCCTTGCTGCCGGCAGCTGCGGCTGCGACGGCGACTGCGACAGCAGCAGCGCAGCCAACGTTGCTGCTCAACTTTGGCAGCAGCAGCAACAACAACAACATGCCAGTCAGTCAGTCAGTCAGCCATCTTGTGCGGCGTTATTAAATTTTATACAAATACTAAAAATGAAATCAAAATTTTCTTATTACAATGACTATTTTCTCTTGAACAGCTGTGCGCCCGAGCAGGGACCGACAATGAGTACGGTTGCGTTTCTCAGTTTGTCTTGGTGGATTTGCTTGCTGGATTGGGTTGGGTTGGGCTCGAGTTGGAGGGGTTCTTGAGTCGTATTTAAACCCCCCACCCCACCCCCCACTCACTGCCTGCCTGCCTGCTCTGTAAGTATGTTTGCCGAGTCGAATGAATTGTACTTATGGCCATACTTATCGACTGCATTGTAAGGGATCCCAAGTTTTTTGGGTGTTGGCCCTAAAAATTGTTGCCTGCTGGTTGCCATTTGCCTTTTGTGGGCGCAAACGGGGCTGTGGGTAGTGGGCGGGTTGGAAGTCCTGCAAATATTTTGTGCATTCGCAAAGAGCTATTCACACAATTTCAATGCAGCCGTAGAAAATTGCCATAAATTCAATTATAAATTTTTTAATTGTTATACGCTTCTTTGGTAGACTGAACACTTTCTATGAGTTCCTGCCACTTCCTGCTGCCGTGCTGCTGCTGTTGCAATCAAAACAACTAAATAAATGAATTTTCCATTAAGATAGATTCTACCTGTTTTAGATAAGCAACTCGCGCACACAATCTACTCAATCCGGCAGACTACCTGCAAGACATACTTAAAATTTAAATTAAACATCGCACGCAAAAGGTAGACAACAACAAAAAACGCTGTGCCTAAACAAATTCTGATAAGCACTGTGCAGATAGGACCGCCAGGACAAGTGATGAATAATACCAATCACGTACCCGAGCTCGGCTGTCCAGGCCAGGCTAGGCCACCTTCATACCACCTAATCAAAGGAACATTGTAAACTAAGCCAAGACAAGACAAGACAAACGAATTCCAAAGGATCACCAGACGAGTTCGTCAAAAAGAATCAGAGAAGGAAACATATAACTACAGACTTATCGACTAGGCCATACCCTTTAGTTGGGCCAGGATGTCAATTGAAGTAGACTATATTCAGTCAATATAAATGTACTCAGGATAGATCACTAAGTATCCAGTTTAAATTTTGCTTATAAGAATAAGAAGTTGTAGTATTTTAATTCTGCGAGCTTTTAAAAAGGAGATTTTGAGGTTATGAGCAAACAAATCGCGACACGTTACGTAACGTTACGTAAACAATTGCAAGTCTCCAAAATAGTTACTTTTTCTTGATGCAATTTACTTTTCTATAATCTGGAAAACTTACGCCAAATAATCGTAACTCTGCCAAGCTTATGCTTCATTAAGTTTTTGGTATTGTTTTAATATTATGTTTAGCTGTAATAGATTACGTAACACACGTTACGTGACGCCTTTTTCGTTAAGAGTTTTGATTTATATATGTTGGATCTCAAATTATCTGATCTAATAACTATGTTCCTGATCATGGTATTGCTGTTTTTTTATCATGTATTACATCTATAGAGAATTTGGGATTTGAGAAGATGGAAGATTTACATAGATCTGTTTTCTAAAGGACGTAAAGAGAAATATTTTTGGGATATGCGAAGATAGTTTACATACTTCATTTAGATAAAAAGTAAGACGTAAAGAGAAATAATTTTGAGATTTAGCTCATTGCTAGTCCTGTTCATGGATAGTTTTTCATAGTGTAATATAGTACACAGTTTCTTTTATAAATCAGCATACCCTATTTACAGGGTATGCAACAGCTTAGTGCTGTGTCCGGTCGTATGGAAAATGCGTAATCTCACACCAACGCAGCCAAGACAAGAACAACAAATTAAGTGCCAATGCAATGCACACGTACACACACACACACACACACGCACACACGCACACAAACACACCTAGGTATACAAATATCAATCTCTATATAGGGTCTATCTATGAACATGTTTCATGCGCATGCGCAAAGGCTGACAAGAAGCGAACGAAACTCGAAGACTGCCGGACAATTAGTTCAGACAGGCTTCCATCTCGTTTTGGTCTTGTGTTAAAAGGTCACCGGTTGCGGCTAAGAGTATACTATGCCAGGGCATGTCAGGGCCCTGTCTCGGTCGGTCTCTGACTCGGTCTCCGTCTCGGTCTCGGTCTCGGTCCCGGCCCTGTTCTTTGATAGCGTTGATCTATTGTGCGCGCATTGCTTTTTACATTTTATACGCATGTGTCTCTCGCTCTCGCTCTCTCTTTCTATATTTCTTTTCTTCATCTTTTTAGTGCCCAACGACTAGGTTCGTCAAAATGATTGATTTGTAGGTGATGAATTACAACAACAGCAGCCGTACCAAGTCTAAGGCTGGCTTAGTTAAGAGCCTACATATCTTTTATGTGTATAAATGTGTGTATTTCTGTGTGTGCGTGTGTGTGCATTTGTGAAAGGTACGACATAGTGAGGATTAA